GATTAGTGATGTCGAGCATCTGTTCATGCGCTTGTTGGCTATTTGGACAAATTCTTTGGAGAAATGTTTGTTCAAGTCCTCTATTTATATATATCTATATGGATGGATGGATGGATGGATGGATAGATAGATAGATATACACACATATATATGCCTAGATAGATAGATAGATAGATAGATAGATAGATAGATAGACAGACAGACAGACACACATATATATGCCTACAGCACCCAGTCTTCCTAAGTGGTCTCCCATCCAAGGACTAACCAGGCCTGACCCTGCTTAGCTTCTGAGATCAGACGGGATCGGGCGTGTTCAGGGTGGCATGACCGTAGACGAGGGTCAGATTTTATACTTAGCATTTCTTTTCACTTCGGACCCAAGCAAGGGAAAGGGGAGGAAGGAGGAGCCGGGGCTGGTGGGAGCGAGTGGACACCTGGACAGGAAACAGGTGTGCAGAACTCCTGTCCTCAGCTGCTTCCTAGAGTGGCTGGCCTGTCCGTCCCTTTTGCGGAGGGAGCAGCAGACAGTGGCTGTAACATTTGCTGGCCAGCCCGGCCTTCAGCCGAGCTACTGATGCAGTAGCTCTTCCTTTCAGCTCTAATTCCTTAAAACTACGCAACTTCGCTGTAGACGAAATGAGAAAATCCGTGTGAATGATTTTTTAAAGGATTGAAAATCATCAGAAATCCCATTTGCTCCAGATAAACTCTCCTGACACATTCCCTGCCCCCACCCCTTGGGGACAGTTTTTCTTTCAGGCAGAGAAAAATATAAGTGACAACGTTTTCTTGGTTTTGAAATTTAAGGCCCTAAAAGGGACGCGAAGGATTTAGTCATTGGTCACTTCAGCGAGTGGCATCAGGGAATTAATTACTAGAAGGCGTGTGGAAGAGGCAGGACGCGACTGAGCGCTCCCAGCCACACCCGGTCTGTGCTCAGGTCTGGGGGCCACAGCTGCAGGGGACTTGGCTCCAGGCCACTCGGGGAGCTGGGAGGCACACACTAGCTTCCTGCTGGCACTGCTGAGCCTCTGCTCAATCTGCTCTTCCCCTCATCTCTCAAGGCTTCCTGGACCTTTTCTATGAAACGCCCTTCGTTGTGTCCCTCTGTGCTCCCTCCCAGGTCAAAATCGCTCTCTCCCTCATCTCCGCTGCCAAAGGGCTTTGAAGTTCCAGAGGAGCCGCAGCAGGAGGCTAACGCTGGCGTGTCCTGGCCTGTGTCCGCCCTTCTGGGCCTCAGTCACTCCCAGGAGTGCACGGCACACACTAGCCCAAGGGGCGAGGGGTCAGGGAGGACCCCTCTGTGGGCACGCGAGCCGAGGCCTGAAGGAGGCATTGCACAGCTTGGGCAGAGCTGGGCTGGGAGGTCACGCCAGAGAGCAGTGGGCTCTTCAGACGAAGAGACTAGAGGAGAGGCTCGAGGTCATGCCAGAGAGCCGTGGGCTCAGACACGGCGTGAGGGGAGGGCTCTTCAGACGAAGAGACTAGAGGAGAGGCTCGACTTGGGGACAGGAGAGAGACGAAGACCTCCGAGTGACAGTTTTCACATCCATAAAGTGGGGATGATGGCAGTGCCTGCTTCACACGATTGTTAATTATAATACAAAGTGGACAGAGGGTGCTGGACATAGCAAGGGAGACAGAAGTGTACAAGTGTGTGTAATTCTTACTGTTTTATTCGTATGCTACTACACGTGTCATTACGTAGGAGGAGAAAACACATTCATTAGACTTAAAAATGTGATCTAAAGCGTGCATGCTTCAGTAGATCGCCTAGCACTCCAGGGCAAACGCAGAGGAGTTGATACCTATTGGAAGTGGCGTCCCCGGGTGACGTATGATCAGAATTAGGGACGGGGAGCAGACTCTAGCTCAGTGGGTGTGGCTTTCGGTAGCAAGACTTGGGTGTCCGCAGTTTGTACCGGGGCCGGCCTGTGAGTTCCTCGTGCTGTGGGGCAGAGGTGGCAATGACCCGTGTGTGGGCACAGCCGCGGTGGGCCTGGGTTCTTCCTGGAAGTCACGCCGGACTCTGACGACAAGCTCTGTCCTTTCCCCTTGCACCTCAGCTCTATGAGTCCACCCTGCACGCCTTTGCCTTCTCTTACTCCATGCTAGGAGAGGAGATCCAGCTCCATTTCATCATCCCCAAGTCCAAGGAGCACCACTTTGTCTTCAGCCAACCTGGAGGCCAGCTGGAGAGCATGCGGCTGCCCCTCGTCACAGACAAGGTACTGGCTTTGAGTCCAGCGGATCAAATCCGAGGAGCTGCTAGTGCCCACTGAGCTAGAGACCTAGTGACTGTAGCTGCCCGAAGAGTCAAGGGCATATGGGACGGGGTGGAGAGACAGATATGGTGATTGAACTTGGAGGAGGCGGCCGGGGAGCACAGGGGCTTTGGGGTCACTCGAAGTCAAAGCCTTGTTCTGCCATTTACTAGCTGTGTTAATCGATCTTGTCACTTGATATTGCTGTGCCTTGGTTTCCTCATCCGTAAAGCTGGGCAATAATAACGCTTACGGAAGCGCGTGGTTAGGATTATTGGAATAACCGGCGTAAGGCACGAGCACGGTGCCTGGAAGACGACTGCCGGGAAGGCGTACGCTGCTTCCGCTGCCTTTTCTTCGCTCTGTCACGGGACCTGTGAACAGGCCAAGGTAGCAGAACAGCCCCTTAGCCGGCTTCAGCAACGTTGCTCCTGGCCGGCCCCGTTCCGTCTGTGCTTCTCTCCTCTCCTGCTTTCCTGTATCATGTGGAGGGGGATCCCGGACAGTCTGTCACTTCACCCATACGTATTTCAGTGTCTCTCTCTGAAAGGTAATTTTCCTCTTCCGAAGAGACTGTGCTCAGTAACTTGTCATCTCTGTGCCGCGGTTCTTACAGAGACGCTCCCCAGCGGGGCGTTCGGTCGGACAGTTCCGGCCTGACGGTCTCGGCAGACTTGCCATAGAACCTTGTGTAAATGCGGCTTTGGGGCCAGGCATCCGACGAGGCGGGCCCAGCCTTTCAGCCTCAGCAGGCTGTTATCAAGCCCTGAAAACATTTATAAAGTAGCAAAGAAGCCTTTACTCTACGGCGAGGGCTGGGTGTGGCAGTGATCGAGGATTCATTTATACTCCCTTTTCCGGCCTCTTCCCCTCAGAACCAGTTGATGAGTGCCAGCTGCATCACAGCTCTGTAGCCGGGGCTTCGAAGCATTCAGAGGGCGCGGACGATCTAGCTCAGCCAGAGGAACTCATTGTTGGGGAAGGGGTAAAGAAAACAGAGTTCTTTATATAGAAGGTTTCCAGCCTGAGTGTATAAATAGCTAGGCTGTATGGGCAAGCGACTGGGGGATTTAAGTCATACGGGGCTAGCCTGTACTTAGAACGATATTAGATGCGAATATGAGGGGCAGTGAATTAGATTCATTGATATGTGCCAGCTCGTTTGGGTTGCTTAACAAACCGTTCCCAAACAAGCACTTACTTAGCCTCTGGTTCTGTGGGCCGGCAGAGCGGGCTCCGTTCAGCCGGTGGTCATCCTGGACTTGCCTGTGCTCACCGTGTGTTGGCAGTTAGCCACCGGGTCGGCCGGGGGCTGGCTGGAATGGGGTGGCCTCAGTGGGATGTCCAGCTCGGCTCTGCATAGTCTCTCGTGCTCCAGCAGGCTAGGCGAGGCTTGTTCCTGGGGGAACAGGGGTTGCCAGAGAGGACAGAGGTGCAAGTCCCCTTGCAGCCAGGCTCAGAACTGGCACATCGTCATTTTTTCTGCGTTTTATCAGCCAAAGCAAGTCCCAAGGCCAAGCCGGATGCGAGGGGCGTGGAAGCAGAGTCCGTCTATGTGGAGGATGCTGCAGAGTCACATTTCAGAGGGAGGGGAGTAATTGTGACTATGTCTACGAACGCTTTCCCTCCTTATGCCTCCACTTTCCAGAGTCACGAATACATAAAAAGTCCGACCTTCACCCCAACAACTGGCCGACACGAACACGGACTCTTCAACCTGTACCACGCAATGGACGGTGCCAGCCACTTGCACGTGCTGGTCGTCAAGGAGTATGAGATGGCCATTTACAAGAAATACTGGCCCAACCACATCATGCTGGTGCTCCCAAGCATCTTCAACAGCGCCGGAGTGGGTAGGGGCTTTGGACGTGGCCCTCTGTGATGGAGACCCGGGAGGGTGTTCTAGAGACGAAAAATGTTGAACGTTTTTCAATCAAGCCTTTTGGGCTTCTTAGAGCAATTTCGATTTGCCTGAATAGTCTTTTTTCTCTGATGTCTGGTTATTGATTTAATTCGTGTTCTCGATTCATGTTAGATAAGCAAGGATAAGCAGACAGGTGTGTGCAAGCTGGAGAGGAGTATTTTGTCCTCTAGGATTTTCTCTCCCCAGTCAATGGCCAAAAGCGAGCGGACGAGCGATGCAGTTTAGGACCATGGAGAGCTGGCCGTTTGCGGGGCGGGGCCTTGACAAACGGTGTTCATCCCAAATGGGGCTTCTGCCCTGCGTGGATGTCGAGAAGGACAAGCCGAGTCAGGGCGGTTTTGCCTGTTGCAGGCGCCGCTCACTTCCTGATCAAGGAGCTGTCCTCCCACAACCTGGAGCTGGAGCGGAGCCGGCAGGAGGAGCTCGGCATCAAGCCGCAGGACATCTGGCCTTTCATCGTGATCTCTGACGACTCCTGCGTGATGTGGAACGTGGTGGACGTCGACTGTGGCGGGGACAGGAGCAGGTGAGATGTTGCATCCGGGTGAGGCGGGTGAGCGTGCTCTCTTTCCGATGGGAAGGTCTCATCCACCCCATGAGGACCACGCGGGGCACCAAAGCATGGCGTGCGGGGGACACGGCCCTGGGTGTGGCAGACCTGCATCTCTAGCTTTACTTTGAGCTTAAAGAGTTTTATAATTTTATTGGGAAACCACTAACTCTTTTTGGCTTCTAGTCTCGTCATCTTTCAAAGGGGCACTAACACCATGCTAGAGGTCCGTTGCAGGCTTAATCAGTGCATGAATGGTGTGCCCGCAGGTAGATGATGGAGCAGCATGAGGCAGAAAAGGCTCGGTGGATGCAATTGCATCTGAACGTCATTAATAAAATATTTCCTCAAGATTTCGTGATTTCACGCTGTCAGTGTTTCAACTTAGGGCTGCCGGATGACTTCTGCTTAGTTTTGGCTTGTTGTTTTGACAATAGTAGGTTAGTTCTCCTCCATTAGGTTAATAATACACTAATGCAGAAATTAGCATCAATTACCGTTCTGGAGAAAACCGTTTTCTGTATGGCAGAACGGCACGCGGCTTATGAGGACGGTGATCCGCTTTGCTTTTAATATTCTTGCTGTCACTCTGGGTCAAGAGCGTGGCTGAGGGCGGAGATGGGGGAGAGAATGGAGAATTTCCTTCTGAAGCAGCAGTTAAAGTCCTGGAATGGCAGAGCCTTAGAGACTTTCGCTTACGCTCCTCAGGTGGGGAAGAGAAAGCAGAAAAGTCGAGCGCCATGCCTGGGCCCTCGCGGCCAGAACTGTCATCCCTGGCTCCCAGCCCAGGAGGCACCCCTGAGCCCTCTCTCTGGTCACCGGGCCTCAGACACCGTCCTGTGGGGCGGGAGGTGTTCACGT